CCCCCCCCCCCCCCCCCCCCCCCCCCTTTGCTTGCAACGAAACTGTGTCGTCTGCACTCCATTGTCCACCCTATCAGGTGTTTCAAGGACATCCTGGAAGCCGAAGAGGATCGAGTAGAGACCGGTCTCGCCAGGGTCGACATGGAAGCTACAGGTCTGGGTGTTTTCTTCTTGTTTTGTTTTGGATAGTCGGGTCGCCGCGTCCCTTTCGATTTCATCGAATGTGTTGGTTGGGTCGGAACGTGGTGATTGAATCGGGTCCGGTGGAATGGGTTGGAATCGTGTCGATCTGACTGATGGCGTGGAGCAGCGTGGAGCAGCTCGCCCCCCTCCGCGGCCCTCGAAATTTTCGCTATTTTCGCTGGTCAACCATTGGTCACTTGCGTAATCCGGTTGCCAATGAACACAGTAGATAGTTCGTAGTCCGGTCCCTGCTCCAACCGGGCCTCACACCGATGTCATCGATCTCGTGGTTGTTCGCTGTTACTTGTTGTGCGTCTCCACTTCTTGCCGCGAAGCCGATGGGTTTATGGTATCCGCCTGTCGCGTGCGTGTGTTTTTTATTCACTCTACTACAGTTACTCAAAACACGCCAGTACACTGCTGGCCAAGGTATGTTTGTTTTTTGGCCGGCCTCCTTCGCGAGGATTGTATTATTTTTATTGTCTATGAAATAGGGGGTTTCTTATCCCTATCCCTATCCCTACCTATCCTCAACCCTAACCCTGTACCCCCTACTATAGCCAAGATTAATATCCTCGCGATGGCTGCTGTCTTTTGAATCGACCCTGCTATCCGGGTGGCCAATGAAAATACGCCAGTCTCAACATTGCTACTGCGTGCTGCCGGGCTTTGTTCCGTTTCAGGTGTAACCGTGGCCCAGCGCGTCCAAGGCGACCAGGACGGCGAGAGCTCGGTCGTGGGCGGGGTGCTGCAGATGCACCTCGCAGCCGTCCTGTCCCGCCTTTTCCACAGGTGGACGAATAGCTTGTCGGCGCTGACTTTGTGTGTGTTTGCTCGCGTGCTTGCGACGCTCCGCCCGAGAGAGCCACGTCCTTCGAAGTATCTAAAACATCAAGACCGTTCGAATGTGCACGTTCCGAAAATGAGTTCGAAGAGTGAAATGTAGGCGGGTTGTGTCCCAGACAGATACTATTTTGTGAGCCTTGTGGAGAGTGACCTTATTTTGTTCTGTATTTGTACAGTATATATTACAGTAGCCCATCCTAGCTGGATCTGTATGGAGGAACGCCGTGCACGGTGTTGTTCCGACACACCTGGCCTAGGCACGTAAATGTGGTGTGCTACCCCTTGCCGAAGGGTGCGTGCCCCTTGGATTCGTCGCATCACGTCACTGTTTCTCAACACGCTTTATGCGATTTTGCTCTGCCGTCTCTGACCAGCTCCTTCGGGATTCCCTGTCCGTGTCTGTTTCGTTTTCTCGGGGTGGGGGGTGGGTGGGTGGGTGGGAGCAGGAACCGCGTGGTACGAGCGGCGGCGATTTCCCTTCTGGGGGTGATGTTGCGGCAAGGATTGGTGAGAGGGCACCCGAAACGATGCGCGTGAACGACCACCTTGGAACACATGTTTTCTGTGTTGTTCGTTAGCAGGTACAGACTACTCCGTTCGAGGCACAACCACAGTCGAACGGAATTTATTTGAAGTCTTGACGGTGAGTAGGAGGAAAAAACGGCTAAATAGATGTTGTTGCTGTCGTTGTTGTCCTCACCTGCGTCACCTCTGTTGTGAATGGTTTCGCACTGGCGGCGTGAACACTTCCGCACCTCGGGACTTTGCACATCTCACTACACGACGCCAGGTCAATCCGGTGGATGTGGTTCCGCAGCTGCTGGCGCTGGGCGGCGACAGCGCGGGTTTCGTTCGGGCGGAGGCGTTTCGACTTCTCACGGTGGAGGACAGCAAGAACGGCGAGTTCATCCGGACCAGGCTGTTGGACGGGCTCTTCATGGCCTACACGTGAGGGTCGAACGTTGTCCGGCAAATATTGGTAGATAGTGTCAGGCCACGTTAATGACATTTTATCGACCGCATTTTTCCACGCATGGCTCTGGAGAGAGAAAAGGGAAACTGGTTCTCTCTTCGCAACGCGTACGTAACCAACGTCGTGTGAGTTTCGTGTTTGGTTGCATTCGATGGGCCACTCGCGCCTTTTGTGTTTGATGCCATATTCGAGCGTTCTTGGTCTAAGGTGTGATTGGTTTCTGTCCACGTTGGTGCGGAGATATTTATTTCGTCTCATATTCGGAATGTTCTTGCCGCGTGTGTGCGGGGTCTGCGTCTGCAGAAAATTATTTTTACCTAAAGACGCGAAAGCTGGCGTTCCGAGTGAATTGCAATACTCACACACGGCAAGGTTGATGGGTGTTCCCATTCACTCTAAACGTCCACTTTTATATGCATACGTTATACGTTTGGGTATTTTTATGGGCATACCAGCCTGGTTCCCACAGGTGGAAGGTCACGCAGTATTTTGTTCTCCCCCTCCCTCCTGCGGTGGTTTCGTTAGTCTTTCAACCGAGAAGAATCAAGTCGTTCCTTTCCTCGCCGACCATGAAGTCATTTTCTACAGAACATCTCTTTTCAGATGGTTTCGGCATTCACGTGGGAAAAAAAATAACTTGTAATAATGCATGGTACAAGTTTTTGTATTGCTGCTACGGGATTCGAAACCGCGTTCCCATCCACTAGGGGGTTGAGAGGTTACCCACTTTACCACTTCACTGCGATGGTTTGGCAAAGCTCGTGAGGCTTAGTATAAAAGCGCCCAAAACGACAATGGCGCCTGTTGCTCGAACGCGGGAATGACTGGGTCTTTACCTCCTGCAAAATGTCGTTGTTGCCGTTGTGCTCGCTCGCTGCTCAGGTTCCAACAACACGTGCTGTGCGACTGGAGGCCGCTCTTGCCCAGTACCGACCCCGCGGCGGGAGGCACGGGCGGGGGTTGCTCCATCGTTGGACCCGCCTACACGCTGTGCGTTCGACCGCAGAGACCCAGCCGTTACTCGTGCCTCAGGTCAGTCAAGCTTGTCGGTGGGCCTTGGGCGGAGGGGGCGGTATGTCCGTAATTTTTTGGATAGCGGGGGGGGGGCACTGATGCGGCAGCAAGACAAACTGTCCATCAGAAAGCAACACGAAGCTTGCCTGCGTTTTAGTTTGTTTACTGTCCGCTGCCGCGGTAGTCGCAGTCTCACCGCCAAACAATTTGGAAACGCGGTTGTTTTGTGTGAGTGATTTGGTGCTTTCTCGCGTTTGTTCAGCGTCCGCTGCTGCCGCGGTAAGCGGCTGATTGTCCAGAATCCGTTGGTCTCACTGTCAGCAATGTGTGTGTGTTTGTCGCGTGTATCCAGGCTGCTCATGTCCCTCTTCTCCGAGGCGAAGGCGTGGGAGCTAGCCTCCTTCGTGTCGTCCGCCAAGGAAAAATTGGGAGTTTCGTCCGCTGGTGTTGGTAGCGGCAGCAGGGGTCGCGGCGGAGGAGGCGCGGGGGTAGGGGGGGAGGACCCTTTCGGCGGGGCGACGCCTCCATCGGCCAAGAGGGCGAGAAATTCCCTCAGCAGGTGACTTTCGTGCGATGCACACCTTTTATTTTCTAACAGCTTTCCCGAACTCTTTGCGTCCACCGTTCTGGTTGCAAACAGTATTGCTTGAGTGGAATATTTCCAAGGGGAGAGCAGGATGTAGGAGGGCTTATGGGTGGTCGATGATGATCTTTCACTTTTTCTCGATGCGCGTTGTTGCCCTCCACCAGGAGCACGTCGTTGTCTTCCTTCTTGAGGGTAATGCAACGGCGTTGTGATCCAGCCACGATTTAAAAGAGCCCGGGTCATTCGCCGGGGTTTGTTCTGTGTGTGATTCGGTTTCACCGCCGCCTGTTCCTTCCCGTTGGTGACTCTGCAACCCTTTTTCAGCTTTTCAGCAACTCCCCCCTTGTGTGTATCGGGTAGTACCAATAGTCTACATTTTTGTCAAGACGCTCAGCGACATGTTTCCGCCCCCGCGCCTCCCAAGTTTGTTTGTGTGTGTGTGTTTATCGATTGTGTTCCTTCCCTTCGGCGCTTCGTAGTCGCTGCTTCGCTTCTTTATCGCTTCTAATTCGCTGCTTTCGCTTATCCCCTTCTTATCTCGGTGGCATGCTTCTATCTATGTACCCGAACGTGCACCAGATCTTCCAGCCTAGGCTCAGGCGGACGCGGGAAAACGGGGCCTCTGGACATGCGGGCCCTGTCGTTCGTGTGCTGCACCTTGGCAGGCCTGCCGTACCAGGTCCAGGAGGAGCCTCTCTTCGTCATCGACTACGTTAATCGCCAGGTCTGTCTGTCTGTCTGTCTGTCTGTCAGTGGGTGGGTTTAGTGGCAAAGTGTTTCGAGACAAAGAAGGTCGTTGACATGCAAGAGTTGAGTTTTCGTGGTTTAGAACCGGGTCGTGTTGGTTAGATGCTTCTCCTGGTGTTGCTATTACTGTCGCTGTCGAGTACATACCAAAGGCTCGAACCTTGGGCTATGATGTGATGGTTTGGAATGATATCGATTCCTGTTGGTTGATTTTTACTGCATGCTTTTGGGCTTGGGTTTGGGATCGTTGTTGGGGTATGTCGTGGAGATGCTGCTGGTTCAAGCTAAGAATGATTGCAAGTGTGGCTTATAACCAACAACACAAGACTAAGAGTGCCATCCTCGAGCGACCGACGCTGCTGTGCTCTGTGGTAGCAGTCTTGAGGTCGCACGTGATGGTGATGGTGATGATGATGAAACGTGTCTCACTACTGTTTAGTCGGGAAACAGACGGTCTGAACTGCGTTGAATCGGAGACGCTCGTTCGCGTAGATACTGCCTGCTTTTTTTTTCCCGCGGCCTGTGATGAACCGTTTCTTGCTCAGCGTTGTTGCGGTTGGTCCAAACGTTGCACCCTTCCGCACGGCCGATTTCCGTGGCTCTGGTTGTGTCCTTTGTTTCGTCGGACAGATGTCGCTGCAGGGGAGCCAGTGCTTGGAGCTGCTGCACACTCTTCTCGCGAGAAAGGGTGAGCGTCCTTGCTGGTTCAAGTTTTGATTCCTACTTTTCATGGTCACCAAGAGTTTGTGTAGACTGGTGCCAGAATGAATGGGAGACGACACACAATGCACACGCACGACGGTGGTATTGGGTCATCTTCGTGTCGTCCGGAAGCAAGGCACTGTCGTCCAACCTCCCCCTCGCCCTTGCCAGTAGAGATCCGTTGCCCAGAAATCGTGCTCGTTGTTTTTTTTTTCCCGGTCTACAAGAGTGTCGTCTTTTTCACTGGCCAGCCGCTTAGCGCCGTCGATGCTAGTGAAAGAAACAAACACAAGTCACACCCACGTGCTTGGGGTTCGCTGTCGGATGTTTCGGTCTTTGGATTGAGCGGCGGGAAACGTGTGCTTATGGTCTTTGAGGGTACACTGTGTACTGCAAAAATGTGGCCAGTTTATCGCCGCAGAATACAGGCCTCCTCACCAGTGTTTTTTTCCACGTTCGGGATGACCCTGCGTAAAAGTCAAGAATCGCCTCCCCTTTATTCGGTTCCTATTAACCGACCTCCCTCGCCACCCTCAGGTACCTATGCCCCCCCCCCCCCCCCCACCCCCATTTTAGGGGGGGCGACCCCCCCCCCCAAAAAGGGCCAAATTTAAAAAAAAAAACCGGGCTTTCCTTCCGGGAGAAAACCCCCGGAAAGAGGGGCCCCGGGCACCCGTTTTCCCCAACTCCCCCCCCCGGGGAAAAAAAGCCAAAAAGGGAAAACCGGGGGCCCCTCGCGCCCC